CTTGGAGGTCTTCTAGTCCAGCCCCCTGCTCAAGCAGGAGAACCTGTATCATTTCAGACAAGTGGCTGTCCACAGTCTCCTCCTAAATGAAACATCTGCAAAAAAACCAACCAAGTTCAGAGAGCACCAAGGACTCCTGTCATCTTCCCCAGTTTTTTTTTTCTTCCCTTCTGCTGTTGGAGTTGGCAATCTGAGGTGGACAAGGGGGCACTGCTGGGGATTTATGTCAGTGCTTTTAATTGTTTTAAAGCACCTATTAAAGGTCTGTTGGCTGCACACACTGCCAATTCCTTGACTGAAAGGGGAAATATTGCTGTCCCCTGTGATGGGAGTCACTGAAGTAGTTGGTGTGAGCTTCAATGGACTCCCTGGGACGGTAGAGGACAGAAAGGCCCGGAGGAACATTGTCCAAGGGGTCACGATGAGTCGGACACGACTTCCGACTAACAACAAGATTGCTGTCCCCGAAAATTATCACAGAAGGGAAGAGAACATCAGTGGCACGCAATAGCTGTAAAGGGGAAAGGGAAGGAGGAGGAGGAGGAGAAGGAAGAGAAGGAGGAAGAGAAGGAAAGGGAGAAGAAAGGAGAGGAGGAGGAAGAGGAGAGGGAGAAAGAGAAGAAGAAAGAGAAAGAAAGAAAAGGAGGAATTAAAGGGTCTGGCTGATTGTGCAACCAACCACAGTAATAATAATGGAGGTACTCAAATCTCTCTCTCTCTCTCTCTCTCTCTCTCTCCAGGCTTGACTCCTGCGATAGGCCCCCCAATCACTGTTTTGAACCGCTGTTCTCCGAACCCATGCTTCCCGGGGGTCACCTGCACCAGCACCCCAACCAGCTTCCATTGTGGATCCTGCCCTCTGGGTTACACAGGCAACGGGACCCACTGCAAGGACATTAACGAGGTCAGGCTCAGCTGCTGCTCTTACCACCAGCCAGGCGCCTCCAGAAAGGAAGGGCTGGGATTGCGGAGGGGGCGCTGGCTGTTTTTGTAGGGTCAAAGAGCCTCTCTTGGATGCAAGCCAGGTTTGTTTTCCTCTGGACTAAAAGTAGGAAATTTCCGACGGTCCCTTAAACCAGGAGATTGTGAGTTGTAGTCCCCCACCCCCTTAGAAATGAAAACCAGGTAAGTGACTTTGGGCCAATCACCCGGAGTCTGTGAGTTCTAGTCCCACCTTCGGCATGTAAGCCAGTTAAGTGACTTTGGGCCAATCACCTGGAGTCTGTGAGTTCTAGTCCCACCTTCGGCATGTAAGCCAGTTAAGTGACTTTGGGCCAATCACCCGGAGTCTGTGAGTTCTAGTCCCACCTTCAGCATGAAAGCCAGTTAAGTGACTTTGGGCCAATCACCCGGAGTCTGTGAGTTCTAGTCCCACCTTCGGCATGAAAGCCAGTTAAGTGACTTTGGGCCAATCACCAGAGGATTGAGTTCGAGTCTCACTTTAGGCGTGAAAGTCACCTGCACTATTCCAGAGGGTCAAGTTCTGGAAAACATGGATATTTTTGGCTTCCCAGCCAATAAGCATCTCATCCCATTTGTGGACCAAAGATATTCAAGATGGCTTTAAGCTACTACTTTACAGTTCTTTCAGGCGATTGGGGTCCAGGTGGAGGCAGCCTGCCCATGTCAGGAGTGCCCCCTCCCAACAGGGCATCTGAATGGTGGGTGGGCAGCAAAGCCACAGTCACCCTCTCGGTCCCACAACGAGCGCCGCTTCTCTCTGCAGTGCACAGCCAGCCCCTGTTTCCCCAAAGTTCGCTGCATCAATACGGCGCCTGGTTTCCACTGTGAGTCATGTCCTCCTGGCTACAGAGGACCAGCGCTGGAAGGAGTCGGCTTAGCGTTTGCCAGGGCCAAGAAGCAGGTAACAATGACTTTCTCTCCTCTGGGGTGAATTTGTAACATTGGCAGCGCAGGCAGGTAGTCCTCGACTTACGACCATATCATGTCGGCCATTAAGTGGATCACCACATGACCACAACTGATTTTATTACCATTTTTGCGGTGGTCGTTCAATGAATCCATTGACCGGAAGGTTTCTGGAAGGTGCTTTTTTTCAGGAGGTAATTGGACTTTGTTTTTTTTTCTTTTGAAGACATTTCACTTCTCATCCAAGAAGCTTTCTTCAGCTCTGACAGGATAGTGGGGAATAGAAGAACTGTCAGAGCTGAGGAAGCTTCTTGGATGAGAAGTGAAATGTCTTCAAAAGCAAAAACAAAGAAAATCCAGTTGCCTCCTGAAAAAAGCCTCTTTTGTGACCTGGGTGACTGAGAATCTCTACAGGCTGTTTCTGGCAAAAAAAAATAAAAAATGCAAATTGTAAATTGTGGTCACATGACTGAGGGATGCTACAAATGGCCACAAATATGTGCCAGTTCCTGAGTGCGGCCTAATGTGGTCATGTGACCTTGTTGGGGGCGGGGCAGCTGTTTAAACTTCAAACATGAGTCAGAAGTAGCCCTGGGGATATCCGTTTGCTATGGGTGTTTTTTGCCCGAAAGTAGAAAGAAATGCTGATTTTCAGCAAAAATGTCATACATCACAATCATGTAACAGTGGGATGCTTCAAAAGGCAATGCCAGCTGGTTGCTGAGCACACAAAATACAGTCCACCCTCATTCAAATCCCCCCTCATTCAAATCAAAAGTCTCTAGCCGCATCTCCGAAAAAGTAAATTGGTTTATTAGAAATTGCCATGTTGGCGCATAGCTGGATGCAATTGGTATTAAATCACATCATACGGTTCCCCCTTGACCCTGGTCCTTCCCCCACCCCCTGGATGTGACTTCTCCAATGGGACACATCAGTCTCCGAGAGTCATCCAATAACCTTCTTATGCTTTCTGGCAGCTAAAAAGACCAAAGGAGTCTCTTTTTAGTTGACAGCATGACCACGGGGAAGGGGTTGTCCTGGCTACGGAAACTTCAAATTCTGTTCCTAAGTCCTGTTGGGGATTCATTGCAATCATGAAGAATCACTAAAGGTCCAGTTGTAGATCAGGTCGTTTTTGATTTACAACCACAATCCCAATTGTGACATACAACCACAAAAGTGAGCTCAAAATTTCTGTTGCTATCTGAGACAGTTAAGTGACTTTTGCTCCATTTTACAACTTTCCTTGCCACGGTTGTTAAGTGAATCACTGCAGTGGTTAAGTTAGTAAACGTGGTTTGTTAAGTGAAATCCAGGTTCCCCGTTGACTTTGCTTGTCAGGAGGTCACCAAATGGGATTGCCTGACCCACCCCGGGACACCGTGACCGTCATCAATACGAACCATTTGCCAAGCATGTGAATTTTGATCACGTGGTCATTGGGGAATGCTGTGATAGTCGGGTGAAAAATGGTCATAAAAGTAGCTTTTTTCAGTGCTGTTGTAACTTCCAATGGTCAACAAATGAACGGTGGTAAGTCGAGGACTACCTCTTCCCATCATTGGTTCCTGACCCCTGTGTGTATGCTTTGCCAAACAGATCTGCAATGATATCAACGAATGCGAGGAAGGGGCTGCCAGGCCCTGCGTGGCAAATTCCATCTGCGTTAACACTCCGGTAACTGTTTACCACTTTGTCTCGTACCTTCTCTGGACGTACCTGGACTCAGGGGTGGGATTCTATAGACCCGGTTGTTATGATTCTGCACAGTTCAGAGAACCAGCAAATCGTACTCCTGTCTGGCCCCGCCCCTCTCGGCCTGCCCCTCCCCTCCCCAGCCGGTCAGTCTTATCGTGCATGTGCACCCCCAGGCTCCATTTTTTTTCCTTCCTGGGCCCCGGGGAAGCTTTCTGGGAGCAAAAATGCCACACACCCCCGGAGGCTTCCCTGGTCATGGCCACCTAGCCACGCCCACAGAGCCGGTTGTTAAAAAAATTGAATCCCACCCCTGCCTGGATTTCATTACTTCCAGGTGGGGGAAAAATTAGACCAGCCTTCTCCAACCTGGTCACCTTCTTTCTCCTTGCAATTCGATCTTCGTGGATTGCTCAGCTTTCCAAGATTGCTGAATCTCATTTAAGAGCCACCAGTTGCAGGCGCAAATCTTCCGACTCACTGCTTCCATCCCGTTGATGTTTCAGAGGAGGGCTGGTGTCCAGCCAGCCGCCCTGGCCTAAACATCCTGTTGTGTCTGTGTTGGGTGGGATGAGCATCAGAATGCATGTCCCGTCGTAAGGCGTGAAGGGCTTCCAGAGTTGGACCTTCGTTCACTGAAAAAACAGGGAAAGAATCTGGGTTTGGAAGTTCCGTTATTAGAGCACGTGCTGCGGTGGAACCAGTGGGATCCGGTGAATCTCAGAGCAGTCCCACCCTTTGGGAATCAGTGGTGGGATTCAAATTTTTTTGTTTTGCTAACAGTTCTGTGGGCGTGGCGTGGCAGTGGCTCAATGAGCGTGGCAGGGGAAGGTTACTGCAAAATCCCCATTCCCTCCCCACCCCACTAACCTGCTTTCCAGCTCCGTTCTCCTGTGCAGGGCAACCAAAGGAGACCCAGCCGATCAGCTGGGACTCAATGGGAGACAGAGAATAGATGGGGTTGGCGGGGCCAGTCAGAGGTGATATTTGCCGTTCTCCGAACTACTCAAAATTTCCACTATTGGTTCTCCAGAACTGGTCAGAACCTGCTGAATACCACCTCTGTTTGGGATGCTTTAAATGAGGGGTGTCCAACCTGGGCAACTTTTAAGACTTGTGGACTTCAACTCCCAGAATTCCCCAGCTCAACATGGCTGGCTGGGGAATTCTCATACTTGAAGTCCACAGGTTTAAAGTTCTGAAGGTTAGGCTCCCCTACTTTAAATAAACAATTATTTTTTTTAAAAAAAATAACTAGTAAAACTGCCTCCAGAAGTTGTGGGTGCTCCAACGCTGCAGGTTTTAAAGAAGAGATTGGATAACTATTTATCTCTAATGGTATAGGGTTCCCTGCTTGAGCAGGGGGTGGACTAGAAGACCTCCAAGGTCCCTTCCGACTCCGTTATTTTGTAAAGGATGGAATAGACGGAGAGGGAGAGTGGAGAGAAAGTTTCACAAGAGTAATTGAACTGGTTTTACCCTTCTGTTGGGGGGAACGAGACGAAATGCCAATCCAGCTGGTTGACCACCCCGTTTCCTCCTACAGGGCTCCTACAAATGTGGGGCGTGCAAAAGCGGCTTTGAAGGGGACCAGCGTTCTGGCTGCCGGATCAAGACCAAGCGACGTTGCCCCAATGGTCAACCAAGCCCTTGTCATGAGAAAGCGGAGTGCATTGTCGAGCGGGATGGGACTCTCCTCTGCCAGGTGAGTTGGAGGCTTTCTCTTGATTCTTCACCGACTTCCCAAATAGCCCCAAGATTGGGACTATTGGATGCTGTAGTTTCTTGGTTGCGAATGGTGGAAAGGCCTGGGTTTGTTTGCTCAAGAAACTGTTTTAGGCTCAACACCGGAGCATATTTTGTCTCCGTAGTATGGAGCACCTTTGGGGGCAGAAGATGTCAAATTCCAGACAGAGCCCATCTGTAGAGCAGGCAAGGACTGGGTAGTAATTTATTTTAAGCAAAGAGGAACGTTAAAGCTGCTAGCAAAGGAAGGACAAGGCAGGTTGCAAGGGGAAGCACCAGTTCCTGGTCTCTATTAGAAGAAAGAGGCTAATCCAGGACAGTGGAGTCCTTGGTGCTCTCTGAGCTTGGTAGTTTTCTTGCAGACGTTTCATTACCCAACCAGGTAACATCACCAGTGCTACATGTTACCTATTGAGCAATGAAATCCAATGTTACCTGGATGAAAAAAAAACCAAGCTCAGAGAGCACCAAGGACTCCTTAGTTCAACCCTGAACTACAAATATTCTCTTTTCTTGGTAATTCAGGACTTGATCGAGACATTGTTCCCATACGATGGTAATAGTGAAGATGATTCGAACTTGGTCCCCCTTCCCTAGTAGAAATTTCGCATATCTGGAGTCTGTCACAATTTAGAGCCATTTTTTAAAAAAAATTTCCTCTTGGGAGACGGTGGCAAGGATGGGCATTCACGATTCCTTCTTCTTCTAGTGCATCATCGGGTGGGCAGGAAATGGCTACATTTGTGGACGAGATACCGACATTGATGGGTTTCCAGACGAGAAGCTTCCTTGCAGTGATGAAAAGTGTAAGAAGGTAAGAGACCTCCTTTGAGTAGGATCCTCATCGGTTTAAAGACTTCTGCTTTCATGTTTCTCCGGCTATGGTGGGGATCAAAAAAAGAAGCCGAGACCCTAGAAAGAGTCCAGAGAAGAGCAACAATGATAATAAAGAATATGGAGGCTATATACTATAAGACAGCAGTGGGATCCTACATTAGCTGCTACTGCTTCAGTGGGTGATCGCGCATGCGCGCTCCTAACGCGGGTACCCCTAACAAGCCAATCAGCTGAGAGGATGAAGAAACGAAAAGCTAGGAGTGACCCTTCCACCCTCCCATGCGCTTTTCGGTCTTTTATCCTCTCAGCTGATTGTAGGAGGCAATTTTTCCCTCCTCTCAGCTGATTGAAGGCGGTTGTGGTTTTTACTACCAGTCCTGTCAAACCGGGCCGAACCAGTAGCATACCACCCCTGCTATAAGAACAATTGAGAGAACTAGGTATGCGTAACCCAGAGTTTCTCAACCTTGGCAGCTTGAAGATGGATGGACTTCAACTCCCAGAATTCCCCAGCCAGAATTCTGGGAGTTGAAGTCCACCCATCTTCAACTTGGTTTAACCTATCTAAAAGAAGAGTTAGCGGGAGCATGATAGTTACCTTCTGGTACTTGAGAGGCTGTCACAAAGAAGAGAGAATTGATTTTATTTTCCAAAGTGCCCGAGGGCAGGACAAGAAGTGATGGGTGGAAGCTTGTTAAAGAGAGATTCAACCTAGAAGGGTAAATTTTTCTGACAGCGAGAGAGCAATTAATCAATGGCTTGCTTCCAGAGTTGTGGGTGATTCATCACTGGAGGATTTCAAAAATAGATTGGACAACCAATTGACCAGGATTGATATAAGGCAGGCCTGTCAAACTGGTGGCCTGCAGGCTGGATACTTATGATGGTCACTAAATGAATGGTTGGAAGTCAAGGACTAACTCTATGCCAGGGGTCCCCAAACTTGGCACCTTTAAGACTTGTGGACTTCAACTTCCAAAATTCCTCATGTTGGCTGAGTCTTAAAGTTGCCAAGGTTGGAGGCCTCTATGCATTAAAGACCCAATTCCAACAAGAAGGCAATTTTATTCACTCCTTAATCATTCTTAGAGGAATTCGGTGTGCACAAAACAAAACGATTTATTATGATTAAACTCATGTAAACACCCTTGGAAATTAATTTCACATGACTTAAGCAATCCTCTGCTGGTTTTACCAAGATAGGACATCCAAATCCCCATTCTGTAGGTCACGTAAAGAAGTCATAGTCTTGTCTTCAGCTTGTTTGATCTTTTTAATATGAAAAATTCACTAGCTGAAATTAATTCTGCCAACACCTCTAACCGCAGCAATAACATCTGAAGCAAATAGACCAAATGACAAATGTTGAACAAACTGCCAAGAAAATATTCTGAGGTAAATGAACCCCATTTTTCATTCTGCGCAGGCCTTCCAAATGGTTTCTTTGGAACGGAGTTAATTCAAAATAATAAAACTCCAAGAAGCCCAGTTTACTCTTACCACTCCCCCCACAGATGTAAACACCATTTTAAAACTGAAATTGTCTTGGGATATAACTGTTCACAAATAAACAGGTTGCAGTTATAACTATGACCCAACAATTTCCAGGCATCCCAATATTTATTAGCATTTAAGTGGGGTCAGAAGCCTTGAGTTGAAAACAGAGCTGAGTTGTGAAGGTTGTTATTTCAGCCAGCAAATAAAGCGGGGATAAACTTCATGATTATTGAAAGTGTGGAAAATTAAACCTACCTTTCTCAATTCATGCTTGTAATTGGGACAATGACATTTTGGAGGATGTGTTTGCCAAATATATGCACTCAATATCCTATACATTTGTTAAAATAAATACAATGAGAAGATTAATCAGTAACAGCCATTGAACTGATTCAAGCTTAATCACATTTCTCTTAAACCAAATCCTCCAAGAATTCTAAGCCATCTTTATAAATCAGTGTTTTTCAAACTTGGCAACTTTAAGATGTGTGGACTTCAATTCCCAGAATTCCCCAGTCAGCAAAGTCAGGATGGAGGCCATGTCAGTGAGATTGAAGCTCTGTGATCCACCCCCCCCCCCCCCCCACCCCCGCAAAAGACAGGATTTTGATTGCACTGTTGTGCTGCCATCTTGACTTTTTTTTTACCATATCTTGCAGATACTCTTAGAAGTACACTTCTTTGATGTATTTTGGAGAATTTGGGATTTTTTAAATCAAATTATTGGACTCAGTACACTTCTGAGATCAAACTGGAGTGGTGCAGAAGTAACAGGAATAAATAAATGTCTTAATTCAAAAAAATAAATGCCTTAATTTTCTTGGCACACTCAAACCAACATAGTTCAAATCTAATAACTGAAAAACTATTTTGTCAAGTAATTAAAAGTCAGATCGGGGAAATAAATTGTATCTTGCATTGATGGCTAGCACTCTCACACTAAGAGGAAACCTCTCCCAAAAAGTTTGATCTAGTGGTTAAGGCAACAGGCTAGAATTCAGGAGACTATGAGTTCTAGTCCCATTGTAGGCATGAAAGCCAATTGGGTGACTGAGGGCCAATCATCATAAGTCTGTGAGTTCTAGTCCCTCCCTAAGTATGAAAGCTGATTGGGTGATTTCAGGCCATTCGCCAGGAGATGGTGAGTTCTAGTCCTGCCTTAGTGCTGAAAACTGGCTGTGTAAGTTTCAGTCCAACCCACCTCACAAGGTTGTTGTGGGGAAAATAAGAGGAGAAACAGTATTGAGTTTGTTCACTGTCTTGAGTTAATTATAATAAAAATAAAGGCGGGATACAAATTTTTGTTTTAAGTGACATTTCCTCCTTTTGGTCCTTCAGGATAACTGTGTGACGGTTCCCAACTCCGGCCAAGAAGACGCTGACAGGGATGGGATCGGTGATGCCTGCGACGACGATGCTGACGGGGACGGGATAAAAAACTCCGAGGTTAGAACTCCTCCTGACAGTGATCGTGTGGCCTTCAGCCTGTTTCTCTCCTAGATTTCCTTATGCCAAAGAATCCTTGTTCTAATTTCAAAGTGATCCATTCAACAAGGGTGGCCAATCTTGGCAACTTTGGCTTGAGTGTTGAATTTATGTTTCACCGACAAAGAAAATAAAGGGAGACTAGTGTAGATCTATTTCAAGCTATTTAGCTCTCATCAGCTAGCGATACCTTTCTGGGATTCGAACCCAGGCTACTTGCATATTAGGTAGATGTATTAGCCTCTAGGCCAGGGGTCTCCAACCTTGGCAACTTTAAGACTTGTGGATTTCAAGTTGAAGTCCACAAGTCTTAAAGTTGCCAAGGTTGGAGACCTCTGCTCTAGGCCATGGGCTCTCCTCCCTTTGTCGGCTATAGCAGGGGAAAGATTTTTTTGTCAGGGCAACCTGGTCTACCCAATTATGGGATGGAGCATACTGCTTCCGTTTTCGCCTTTCAGCCCCAATCACAGACAAACACAAAAATAGTTTGTCATGGAAGCAACTGCCTGCGAAGACTCCTGGATGGGGGCTGAAAGACGAAAACGGAAGCAGTAGGCTCCATCCCATAATTGGGTAGGCCAGGTTGCCCTGACAAGAAACATCGAAGGCCCGTGGACTTCAACTCCCAGCATGGCTGGCTGGGGAATTCTGGGAGTTGAAGTCCACAAGCCTTACATTTGCCAACATTGGACACCCCTGCATTGTAGCTTGTAGGATGCCTAAAGAGAACATCAACAGTTTGGGAACATGATGTTTCTCTACTTCAGCAGGAGATTTCCCCAAGTTATCCTGCTTGCCAGCGTTCCTTGAAACCTCTCACTGTGTATTGCAGGGGAAAAACCAACATCCCAACAAGCAGGCTTTGTCAGCTACTCCAATTTTGGCAAAGCTGGGCTGGTTTTCCCATTTCTTTCCGACTTACGAATCCTTCCCCCCTGCAGGACAACTGTGTGTTTGTGCCCAACGCGGACCAGCAAAACGTAGATCTAGACAACTTTGGGGATGCTTGTGACAACTGCCGGAATATCAAGAACAACAACCAGTGGGATAGCGATGGCGACGGATGGGGGGATCTGTGTGACAACGATATGGATGGAGACCGTGAGTTCGGGCTCGGATCAGAAAGTGGGCTGATGAGAGAGAGAGAGAGAGAGAGAGAGAGAGAGAGAGAGAGAGAGAAGATAGATATAAAGATATAGAGATAAGATAGAGATAGATAAGAGATAGATATAGATATAGAAAGATAGATATGGATAAATATAAAGATAGAGATAGATGGAGATAAGCTAGAGATAGATTGATAGAGATAGATAAGAGATAGATAGAGATATTTTCTCCACAGTTTCACAGAGCAAGATCACTACTCGATGAAACCAGTCGTTCTTGCTTTGTTGGAAGGTACAGGTAGTCCTCGACTTACGACCATAATTAAGCCTGGCAATTATGGTCATAAAGCGAGTCACCACTTGAATGGACCTGATTTTAGGGCCTTTTTTGTAGCAGTTGTTAAATGAACACTTAATATTAAGCATATCCATTGTTCGTTATGGGGTGCTTTGTTCCTGAAAACCGGGAATTAAACGGCAGTTTCCAGAAAATACATCATAAATCTCTGTTGCCAGGTACTCAATGCAGTTATGTGAGTATGGGGGAGGTGTGTGTGTGTGTGTGGACATTGGAATTTCAGAGCCAGGTTATAAGGGTCTTTTTGTTGGGGGGGGGGTGTCCATTGAAACTATGAATGATTGCCAAGGGACTAGTCATCAATCAGAAATTACCCTACCATTTTTATACATACTATTTTTTAGCTTGCTCTTCTTTAAAACAAACCTCCCAAATGGATCCGTGCCATAATCCACATTATCTGACAAGTGTCACGCTGGGGTCGTTCCCCCCCCTGCCCGCCCCAATTTACCCGCCCTCCCAGCCTTATCACAACTGAGGCTTAAGAGCAGGGACACCATTTGTATTCTCTGAGCCCAGCTACTCCACACAGTCTTTGCTTCTTACGGTCTTTGCTCTTTCATTCACTCCCTCTTCTCCAGGAATTAAAAATGACCTGGACAACTGCGCGAGGATCCCAAACGCAGACCAGAAGGACACCGATGGGGATGGAGTTGGAGACGTCTGTGACAGCTGCCCCTTCATCAGTAACCCAGATCAGGTGAGGCATTGGCTTGGATCCACACGATATAGATTTAGTCGCTTAATGACCTGAAAGGGCTGCATTTGCTAAGGAGAATAGCAGTAGCGTTTAGAATTCTATACTGCCCCCATAGCGCTTTACAGCACTCTCTGGGATGATTTACAATATTTGCAATTTTTTGGGGCACAGGAAACGAGGTCAGAAAAGGGTAAAATTTGGTGACCTGTTGACATTGCGCTCTTTAGAGCAGGGCTGTCAAACTTGATTTCATTGAGGGCCACATCAGGGTTGTGTTTGACCTTGGGGGGCGGGGAAGGACATGGCCAGCTCAATATCACTCATGTCGGGGGCATCTGTGGTGGCCGAATGGTAAGGCAGTACTTCCCTCAGACCCTCCCTCCCTCATTATAATTTCCTTCCTTCCTTCCTTCCTTCCTTCCTTCCTTCCTTCCTTCCTTCCTTCCTTCCTTCCTTCTCCTTCAACTTCAACTACCCCCAAAACAACGCTATAGAGCACTGCGCACCAGAACAACTAGACACAAGGACAGTTTTTTCCCCAAACGCCATCACTCTGCTAAAAAAATAATTCTCTCAACGCTGTCCAACTATTTACAAAGTCTGCACTACTATTACTATTAACCTTCTTATCATTCCTTATGACCCATCCCCTCCCACTTGTGACTGTATGGCTATAACTTTGTCACTTGTATCCTTACGATTTATATTGACTGTTTCCTAGTATGATTTGATTGCTTATTGTACCCTATGACTATTATTAAGTGTTGTACCTGATGATTCTTGACTCTTGACGAATGTATGTTTTCTTTTATGTACACTGAGAGTATTTGCACCAAGACAAATTCCTTGTGTGTCCAACCACATTTGGCCAATCAAGAATTCTATTCTAGATTCCTTCCCCTCTTTCCTTATTTTTCCTTCCTTGCTCCCTTCCCATCTTCCCTTCTTTTTCTTTGTCTTTCCTCTTTCCCTTTCTCCTTTCCTGTCCCTTCTTGCATGCTCAAATGCAAAAGGGGAAACATTTCTCCTTTTTTGTTTTTAGTTTTCTTCTGCTAGCCCTCTGCCAGCAAAAAGTGAAGGACCGGCCCGTGGTGCGTCTGCCAGTGAAAACGGAGCAGATGCACCGTGGCCAATCCTTCAGTGTTTCCAGAGCGGCCCTGCAGGCTGGATCTGAGCACCCCATGGCCTGGATTCTGCTTGCGGGCCTTGAGTTTGACACCCCTGCTTTAGAGAGACCGATTCTGGTCTCTGAACACTACCTGCTTTACCTCTGCTCTGGATTATTTGTTTATCTAGCCCGGGGTCAGCAACCCGCAGCTCTGGAGCCGCATGTGGCTCTTTCAACCCTCTACTGCAGCTCCCTGTTGCTCAAAATATGCATCACAACTGCCAATATGTGACACCTGCTGGCATACGATTTATTGAGCTTTTCGACCCCCCGGTAGGCAAACAGTGGTTAAATCCAAGAAAAGAAAAGTTTCAGAAGAAAACAGAATCTTTAATTCAACTTATATATGCTAGTTTTATGGCCGCTCAGGAAATGGACAGGCACAGGGAAGGGTTTTGTGGCTCCCGGTGTTTTCTTTTCTGTGGGGAAACAATTCCAAATGGCTCTTTGAGTGTTTAAGGTTGCCGAGCCCTGATCTAGCCCATTACAAGTAGTCCTTGACTTATGACTATAACTGAGCCCCAAATTTCTGTTGCTAAGAGGGACAATAGTTACGTGAGTTTTGGCTCATCTTACGATCTTTCTTGCCACAATTGTTAAGTGAATCACTGCAGTTGTTAAGTTAGGAACATGGTTGTTAAGTGAATCTGGCTTCCCTATTGACTTTGCTTGTCACAACACCGCAAAAGCTGATGGACACTGCGAGTGTCATAAATATGAACCAGTTGCCAAGTTTCTGAATTTTGATCACGTGACCAAGGAGGATGCTGCAATGGTCATAAGTATGAAAAACTGTCATAAATCACTTTTTCCATTGTTGCTTGTGCTCAGGACACCAAATACAGGTGGTCTTCAACTTACAATCATTTCTTTAGTGGCCACTCGATCCAGAGAGTGAAATGGGTCCCTGCTCTTAAATCTCAGTTGTGACCAAGTTAGGAATTTTGGGAGGGCATCCCAACATCATCATTGCCAAATTTTCATGGCAAATTATCATGGCATGGATGCAGTTGTCACATTTTACATTTGTTGTAACTCTGAGTGGTCACTAAACAAACAGTTGTAAGTTGAAGGCCACTAAGCAATAATCATTGTCCAAGATCTTAAACAGACAGGAGGTTTTCCCAACCATTTTTCCCAAGAAATTTTTGGAAGAGAGATGCCAGATTTGATGTATGATAAAAGATTTACTGCTCAGCTGAGGCCCGTTCCAAATTAAATCGGAGTTCTGTGAGAAAAGCTGCAGAAACGTTAATTCTATCATTGTTTTTGGAATTACAGAATGTCCACCTAAAAGATTGATTCCAAGATCTGTTCCGTCCTTGCAAATCCTTCCAATCAAACCTTCCCTTGAAGTGTAGAGGGCTATTTTAATTGGAATTTCATTACTCATAATTTGGGATGATGCCCTGACTTTTTCATTCTCCTGGGTGAATGAGCCTGGAAAATCCAGCACAGGATAAAATCTTTTGACTTTTGATTGTGGGAAGCCACCTGCTTCAAATCTTTTTGTAAACAGCCATAGCTTAAACAATTCAATAGAAATGTTAGAGCAAGGGTACGTTTAGGAATAGTGTATGAGATGTTAAGGAAAATATTTTGAAGATAGAAATGTTGATAGAAGTAGAAAATGTTTTACTTGAAACATTCAAGAATTCCAAGTCTGCATTTGATAAAAGCATCTTAGGGAGGTTTCTAAAGGAAGGAAAATTGAAAAAACGATTAAAACTGTTACGTTGTTGGTTTGAACTCTGAGCCTGGCGATTTGGTTGCAAACATTTCGTCCCCATTCGCTTGCAACCAAATCACAACCAAATCACCAAGCTCGGAGCTCAAACAAACAGCATAGCTACCTGAGCTACTAATATTCAGACATTTCAATTAAAACTTTCTACTTTTTGTTACTTAGAAAGATACTGACCACGATCTTGTTGGAGACCCGTGTGACACCAACCAGGACACGTGAGTTGAAGAATATCTGCCTTCATTTCACACGTAGCAAGGTTTAAATATCTGCATTCTTGCAAGAATAATTGCTCTATGAATCCCTTCCAGCTGGAAGGGAGATATGAGTAGTAGGTAAGTCACACAGAGATGCAGTGAGCAGCCTTTTGGCCACACATGTTCCACTGTGTTGGTAAGGCCTCGACAGCTTCGATCACCACACAGGACAGAAAGCTGATATAAAGACCTTCTGTCTATGAAGAGTCTCAATCATCCAGGTCATGGTTGTCTCAAAAGTGCTTTTTCAAAAGACAACTGGACTTTGCTTTTAGAATAGAATAACAGAGTTGGAAGGGACCTTGGAGGTCTTCTAGTCCAACTCTCTGCTCAGGCCGGAAACCTTACACCATTTCAGACAAAGGATTATCCAATCTCTCCTTAAAAACTTCCAGTGTTGGAGCATTCACGACTTCTGGAGGCAAGTTGTTCCACTGATTCATTGTCCTGTCAGGAAATGTCTTCTTGGTTCTAGTTCTTAGTTCTACTAAGTTCTTAAGAACTGAACTGAAGAAGTATCTTGGATGAGAATCGAAACATCTTCAAGGAAAAACAAAGTCCAGTTACCTTTTTGAAAAAGAACCTTTGGGATAATGACCTTCTCTTTTTCCAAAGAGATGGAGTAGAAGATCCATGAAGATAATTGCACTGTTAGGTTATGGGCAATGAGGCCATCCAGTGTTCTCCTAATGTCAAAATCTAGCAAAGCAGTAAACTAAGCTGATTGGAGAACGGTGACTCAGGCTGAGGTTCAATCGGTGGCTTCATTGGTAGACAGATGGCTTAGTCTTGGGAGTCTGAAAACAAGCCAAATAGGTGTGCCAATTGTTGGGGACAATTTAGGGGATAATGATCTTGGATAAAAAAGCCCCCTTTTCTATAATTATCTTATTTCACTCATCACCGAACTCTTTAAGTTTTCTTTTCTTTCTTGTTGGCAGAGATGGAGATGGGCACCAGGATTCCCGCGACAATTGTCCTACGGTGCCCAATAGTTCCCAGCTGGACTCTGACCAGGATGGGCTCGGAGATGAATGTGATGATGATGATGATAATGATGGCATCCCGGATCACAAGTCCCCAGGGCCTGACAACTGTCGTTTGGTCCCCAATCCTAGCCAGCAGGACACAAATCGTGAGGACAGCACGCTTTCTCTCTCAACTTCTTCCTTTGTAGGGCTTTTGTGAAAGCACAAACACAGAACAGTTGCCCCTTAGTGTCCACAACCAAGTTCAAATTTTAAAAAAATTACATAAAATAAAATATCCTGGATTTGGAAAGAGGCCATAATCCATCCCCTGGCCAGTGTAGGATTTACTAGAACAGGGCTCTTCAAGTTTGGCAACTTTGGTCTTAAAGTCTTTGGTCACCACAGGACAGAAAGCTGATATATCCTTAAATAAATAAATATATTCTGGGAGTTGAAGTCCACAAGTCTAAAAATTGCCAAGTTGGGAGACCCCTGCACTAAAACGGTGTTTCCTCAACCTTGGCAATTTTTAAGATCTGTAGACTTCAACTCCAAGAATTCCCCAGCCAATTAACTTGACCAAAGAAACGAAGCACGAATGCAACTGGAAACGGTTATTTTGCTTCTTTCGCAAAGGGCCGTGGTTGAGACCTTGTGGAACAGCAGCTTGGACATTAGCGGGAGAAGCTACAGAAACTTTCAGGGAAAGTTAAACATACTGGAAGGGTTAGTTCAGTGTTTTTCAAATGTAGCAGTTTCAAGAATGTTGGTGGTCAAAGTCTACGTGTTTTAAAGTTGCCAAGTTTGAAAACACTGGGTTAGTTTAGGCTTTCTAAAAATGCAGGCGACTTGAACAAGTATAGCTGACGATATTTGGCAGGTAAAGAAAGAGGTAAAATTAAGCAGAGAAGGGGAAGAACAGAAATCGCCAAGGTTGAGAAACACTGCCTGGGGAATCTCTACATTCCCCACCCGTTGTTGGAAAAGTTGAGGTGAAGAATTCACCAGTTTCAGCCCACAGATCAAAGATAGGAAGTTTCTCCTGGTATCTAACCCAAACTTCCTTGTCATAAGATTCTGTTTCTAGTCCTACCTGTTGGAGCTATAGAGAATAAATCTACTCCCTCTTCTTGATGACCATTCAGATCTTTGAAGCCTGCTGTTCTACATTCCTTTAACTGTATTTTCTGTAGGTCAAATATTGTACCCAGAAATAACATTTAACCATTCTATGTAGGGCTGAATTTCCAGACCCTTCAGCACCTTAGGAGCTCTTTGAACGATTTGTCGATGTCCTTATTTAATTCTGGGGCCAAAACTGGACTCTGTTCTCCAAATGGGAGAACAGCCAAGCCATAGTAGAGTAGAACAATTATTTTCCATAATCTGGGCTTAATTTCTTGTTGTTGCACCCAAGATAGCTGTCAGCTTTGGGAGCCAATCTCCATTTTCTCCTCTTCTAGTCTGCTGTTTCATAAATTTACACACAGAGAGAAAAATGACATGTAACATAAATGGGGCATATGATTTGCATCCGTTGCGTTTTCAGGAAGGGGGAAATTTCTAAGATTTGTGTAGTGAGAGCGGAAAGGAAGCCATTTGCAAATCTTGGGGGGGGGGGAGACTTTGATCTGGACTTATTGCACTGCATGACAGTAAACATGTAGCGTTAGGCTGGTGTGTGATGCTTGCGGCCCTAGTTCTGCCTTTGAACCCAGGGCAACTATGGGAAGATGACTTCCCCACTCCCTCTTTTGCAGGAGATGGTGTCGGAGATGCTTGTCAGGATGACTTTGATAAGGACCTGGTGGTTGACCGGATTGATGTTTGCCCTGAAAATGCCCAAGTGACGCTGACTGACTTCCGGGCCTTTCAAACCGTTGTGTTGGATCCTGAAGGAGATGCCCAGATAGACCCCAACTGGATTGTCCTCAACCAGGTTAGTTATCAAGCTCTGAGGTTGCTTGGTGATTTCCTGACGTGCTTGTTCTTTTTTTGGTTCATATGGTGCTTTGCACGATTGAAAACTCTTCTAGTCCTGAAGAATGATTGCATTGCTCTCCTATGTCTAGGGAGATTCTCAGTCATCGAGGTCATGGTTGTCCCAAAGGTGCTTTTTTCAGGAGGCAACTGGACTTTCTGGTTCTTCTTTGAAGACGTTTCACTTCTCCTCCAAGATAAGAAGCAAAACATCTTCAAACAAAAACCAGACAGTCCAGTTGCCTCTTGAAAAAAGCACCATTGGGCTTACTCTCAAAAGTTCTGATGAAGGGTGAGTCCAATTCTTCCAGTCATACACATTGTCACCCCCATTCAAATCATGTCTCTAGCCGCATTGATTAGGAGTGACCATGGCGGCGTTACCTGAGTGCAGCTGATTCTAAGACACATCATTCATTTCACCCTTGAAGCTGGTCTTCCCCCCCCCACCCCCTGGATGTATATTCTCCAATGGGACACATCCATGCTCTCCCGTAATAATCTTGCGCACCAAAAGCTTTGGCTGCCTAGCAATTATCTGAAGCATTTAAGGAATGCACTATTTTCCCCACTCCCTTTCTGCTGGCAACTAAAAACACCAAAGAAGTATTTTTTACACATTGACACACATTGGAGGCCTCTCCCTCCAACAAAGACCTCGTGAGAAGTGGCATCGAGATTTTCACAGTTGTACTTTCCAGCCAGCACAGCCAATGGAGAGGATGACAAGGCATTATGGGAGCTCTGCCAACTTTATGACTGGGAATTCTGGGAACTAAAGTCTAATTTGTCTGGAACAGCTTCAGGATTGTGAAAGGCTGAGTTTCTGTGACGGGAAATATTTTGATTGGAGGAGCTTTGTGTCTTGCTCTGGTGTGGGGTATCACTTACCTTTCTGGGTGAAGATGATTCAAGGCTGCTGGGGTGAACTCTTGGCTGAAAGGATACAGGTCGGTTCTTCTTCTTGGCTGAAAGGATACAGGTCAGTTCTTTATCCAGTTCATGGTGCAGGAGAAAAGCAAGGTCTGGTCCAGGCCAGCTCCGTTCTCAACAATTTTGGGACAACTTCCTCCTTTTTCAACTTCCCTACTCGTCTCCAAGTTGCGGAGTAACAGAAGAGACTTGTAGCTCCATCCAGCTAACACAGTATTTCTTAACCATGGCTACTTTAAGATCTGCGGACTTCAACTCCCAGAATTCTGGGAGTTGGTCCACACATCTTAAAGTAGCCGTGGTTGAGAAACACTGGTCTACAAAAAGGCCACAAGCAGTCAGGTCTAATAGGGAGTGTCTTGTTGAGAAAGTACAGGTAACATTCTGTGAATAAAAAGTTTTTTATGACATCTCTCCAATCCCATTTTGCCATTTGTCATTTTCTGAAAATGCCCTCCTGTTCTCAAAGTTCCAGATGGAGGTTGGGGTCTCTGGATGTACGTTGCATTAAAAAAAAAAAAATCTTATTTTTGCAGGGTATGGAAATTGTGCAGACCATGAACAGTGACCCAGGTTTAGCTGTGGGTAAGTTACAGTTCAAGCTCTGAAAAAAAAATCAATTGCTTTAAAATATTTGCATCACACATAGGTAGTCCTTGACCTACAACCACAATTGAGCCCCAAATTTCTGTTGTTAAAACGAGACAGTGATTGGGTTTTGCCCCCATTTTATGACCATTCTTGCCACAGCTATTAAGTGAACCCCTATTGTTAAGTTAGTAACCCGGTTGTTAAGTGAATCTGGCTTCCCCATTGATTTTGCTTGTCAGGTGGTTGCAAAAGGGGATCACATGACCTGCAAAAGGGGATCACATGACCTCAGGACACACCAATGCTCATCAACAGGAACCAGTTGTCAAGCATTTGAATTTTGATCACATGATCATGGGGATGCTGCAAAGGTTGTAACTGTGAAAAGCGGTCATACGTCACTTTTTTTTAGTGCTGTTGTTAACAGTAACTAAACACATAGTTGTAAATTGAGGCCTACCTGTACAGGATGCAGAAATGCTCCTTCTTGAGGTCCTCAATGCGGCAACGTTCACTTTTAAGATACAATCCTAGGGAAGAAATTGCAACCCTTGGGAGCCAAGAGTTAGAACTTCCAGCGGTGGGGTCAGTACACAGTAGACGGGGCAGAGTCAACATTTTATTTTCATCTGGCCTGACTCAAACTGAAGCAAAAGTCACTACGCAGCATGCAATAGGTTTACTTAAGAGGAGATTGAACAGGGTTGGACTAGAAGGGGTTGAGCTACAAGACCTCCAAGGTCCCTTCCACCTCTGTTAATCTATTTACACTCCATTCCATGCGATCATTTCCTTCTTCGGACCCATTACACGTAGTCCTCGGTTTAAGACTGTAATGGAAGACTGTCCATTATGTTCATAAGTTGTGATGGTTGTAAAGTGGCTCCTCCCATGGGATCAACCCAATGTGACAAGTTTTGCAGTGCTTATTAAGCAAACCAGTTGTTTGCTATGGGGTGTTTTTGCTAAAAACTGGAAATAAAGGCCAACTTTTGGCAAAACCATCGTAAGACGTGGACGTGTGACTACGGGATGATGCAAACCGCAGTTGCAGAATGCTGGTTTTTGGTCACATGACCATGGAGGAGGCAATAGCCATTGGAACTTCCGAACTGGGTTGTAAACACTCCTGGGAATGTCCGTCATAATTTTGAATGGTCACTCAGCGATCGGCCATAAGTTGAGGGCTGATTGTAGTGACAATTGGGTGGGGATTGTGGGCATGGCTTGTGGGAAAGCAACATACAATCTAGGGCTTGGGTTTTGCATCCCCAGACAGCCTCCCCAGTTGGAGAACTCTGTTTTGGAGCTTGTGCGAAGCGCGCTAGACGGTTGCAATGGAAAAGGCTTGCGTAAACAGAATTAACAGGATTTGGGGGAGGCTGTTCTCAGCTTGAGTTACTTGAAATGAGGCATGTGCACATTTTGTTCGAAATGTACACACACAAACCGCAACCTGGGAAAAGGCAGATGGGAGAGCACAGAGTTTGGTTGGGAACAAAGAGGCTGCTTCTGAATGCCTGTCCACTGGGAAACCAAGCAATGATTAAAGCATCCGGAATGCTTACAGCAAAAAGAATCATCTCTCAGCATTTGGTTAGAGAGGAAGCATCTCAGATTGAGCCTCCCTGGCTCTTCAACGTAAAGGCAGGAAGGGGGAATATCAGAATAACGGAGTTGGAAGGGAGCTTGAAGGTCTTCTAGTCCAACCCCCTGCTCAAGCAGGAAACCCTATACCATTCCAGACAAACGGCTGTCCAGTCTCTTCTTAAAAACCTCCAGTGTTGGAGCAACCACAACTTCTGGAGGCAAGTTGTTCCACTGATTAATTGTTCTAACTGTCAGGAAATTCCTCCTTAGTTCTAGATTGCTTCTCTCCTTGATTAGTTTCCACCCATTGCTGCTTCTTCTTGTCCTCAGGTGCTTTGGAGAATAAATTGACTCCCTCTTTTTTGTGGCAGCCCCTGAGATATTGGAAGACTGCTAGTCCTTCTTTTCATTAAACTAAACATACTCAATTCCAGAAATCATTCTTTATATGTCTTAGCCTCCAGTCCCCTAATCTTCTGTTTTCTGCACTCTTTTTAGAGTCTCAACATCTTTTTTAGATTGAAGCGACCAAAACTGGATGCTATATTCTAAGTGTGGCTTTACCAAGGCAGTATAAGGTGGTACCAACACTTCATGTGATCTTGATTCTGTAACTTGCAATAACTTGGAAGATGCCAGTCCTTTGAGGTAGTCTAGACCAGGAAACCAAAGTTGTGAATGCTAATACAATAAATAGTCCCCCACTTATGACCACAATTGGAACAGGAATTTCTGTTAAGTAAACCAGGCAGTTGTTACGTAAACCATGCCTGGTCTTAGGTTACTGGTTTTGCCATGGTTGTTAAGCAAATAGCTGCAATTGTTAAGTGAATCACATAGCTGTTAAATGAATCATGCTTCCTCCATTGGCTTTGCAAGTCAGAAATCAGCTGGGAGAGTGATAAATGATGATCACATGACTCTGGAATGCTGCAACCATTGCAAATACCTGCCAGTTCCAAGCACCCAAATTTTGTATGTGACTATGGGAATGCTGCACTGGTTGTAAGTGTAAGCACCTGTTGCAAGTCACCTTTTTAATGCCATTGTTAACTTTGAATCGTTGCTACACAAAGGGTTGTAAATTGAGGATTACCTGTGCTTTTATTGTAAGCTTACAATAACAAATTGTGCAGGTCTAAATGTGTTTTTCCATTTCCTGCCTTTACCTGAGAAAGAACTAGGGAGGGTTAAAATTGAGACCCTTCCTCCAATTACCTTTCTGCTTTAGACTGAGGTTTGTCTTCTCTGGCTGTCTTGGTGGTGGGCTTTTCTTCCTATTCCTCCAGGCTGTTCTATCAGGGGACCTTGGTCATCTCTGATCTCGATCGTTTTCTTGCCGACGTTTCGTTACCCACACTAGGTAACATCATCAGTGCTAATAAGGAGTACAGTTTCCTCTCAGTTTAGAGACTCCTTACTAATACTGATATTACCCAGTTGGGGAATGAAACGTCTTCACCGAAACAACCAGGCTCGGAGAGCACCAAGGTCCCCTCATTTCAACCCCGAGCTACAAACATCCCCTTTGATTGCTATTCCCAGAATCTTATGACACGAGGGACAAGAAATAAAAACACAACGTATTATTGCGACGCCCTTTTGTCTCCTCTCCACTTGGGTTCAGGGTACACGGCATTTAACGGGGTGGACTTTGAAGGCACCTTCCACGTGAACACGGTCACAGATGACGATTACGCAGGCTTCATCTTTGGCTACCAGGACAGCGCCAGCTTCTACGTGGTGATGTGGAAGCAGATGGAACAAACCTACTGGCAGGCCAATCCTTTCCGGGCGGTGGCAGAACCGGGCATCCAGCTCAAGGTGAGGGCAGAGTCCACTCTCAGGCTCCCTTCTCATCACAGCTCACCCAGGGAAGAGGATCAGGAGGAGGAAAAGCATTTCAGGACACAGCTGAAAATCTCCCTGGCAGCCTTCTAAAAATTCAGAAAGAGAAATGGCGGTGGGTTCCATCTTCTCTACCCTGCTTTTCCCTTTCAGGCGGTGAAATCAAAGACTGGGCCTGGAGAATACCTGCGTAACTCACTCTGGCACACAGGGGACACCGCTGACCAGGTGAAGTTGCTGTGGAAAGACCCCCGGAACGTCGGCTGGAAAGATAAGACTTCCTACCGCTGGTTCTTACAGCACCGGCCCCAGGTGGGCTACATCCGGTAAGGAAAGACCCAAGAGAATCTCTGTAGCTCAGGGTTGGCATGTGGGGGTCCTTGGGGCTCCCTGAGTTTGGTTGCTTTCTTGCAGACGTTTCATGACCCAACTAGGTAACATCATCAATGCGCTTGAATGCATTTTATAGGCTGCATTTAGGGCTGTTTGCAGCTTCCCATGGCCACGTGACCATGTTTTATGAGAGTTTTGCCGAAAACTGGCACTCCCGGATTTCAGCAAAACTGCACCGTAGCGAACAATGGGTTCGTTTAATGACCATGGTGTTTAACAACCAGTGCAAAAAAAAAAAAAGATTGTAAAATTGGGTCTATACTGTTCCATTTTACAACTGTTACCCCTCAAACTGGATTGACAATTTCATCCATTCTCTTGATCAATTAATTGTGATGCAATTCTGTGCATCACAAAGCACAGAAAATAGTCAGAGCTTTATTGCACATCACATCTATCGTCTTTTTCACTAAACCCTTGTTGGGATGCCCTAGAACAGGGGTGGGGAACTAGGGCCCTTTGATGACATGTGGACTTCCAACTTCCAGAGTTCTCAAGGGAGCCTGGGCGGGCTCAGGGATTTTGGGAGTTGAAGTCCACAAGTCATAAGGAAGCCATTGTTCTTCACTCCCTGTGACCTAGAACATAACAGCATTCAAGGCAAGATCCTGTGGGACTCAGGATAAACATTGCGACTCTCAGAAATAAGCTAAATCCTTCTCTGGATTTGTACTTCAGGACTCGGTTCTATGAGGGGTCTGACGTGGTGGCCGACACTGGCATTGTCCTCGACACAACTATGCGAGGGGGCCGTCTGGGGGTCTTCTGCTTCTCCCAGGAAAACATCATCTGGTCCAACCTGCGCTATCGCTGCAATGGTGAGTGAGGCTCAACCCAATCCTGTCAATCCAGAGCCGCTCTGACTCCATTGGAGGGTGGTCTCGGAGCATTACTGGAGCAAGCGTAATCCTCAGCTGGAGCAGCTGGAGAGCATCCACCACCCAGAGGTGCCTGGCTCTGGATCGTGCAGAGGTCTTTAGCATCTGTCTGAGGGGTTCCCCCTGGTAGCCCCCATAACGCCGGAGCATCTAGGCCTGCATAAGGCTGCTGACCGACCTTTTCTCCTGGTTCACATGCTCCCTCTTCTCTTTTTTAGACACGATCCCTGAAGACTATGAGGCTTACCGGAACCAACACGACTACTAAATGCTACTGCCGCTGGTGGAAAAAAAAGAGACTTGTTGCGCCCGCGCCACATGCACTGCTTTCTGCTCCCTTCAAGATATAGTAAATGGTGAACTGTCTCTTCATATGCGGCAAGCACCGTGTCCGCCAGCCCCTGCAGCCTCCCCACTACCCCTCCTAGGACCAACCTCACCCGAGATCTGCTTCCACAAGACCCCGAAGAACCGTCATTGCTCGACATAGCGCAGAAGAGCCGTTCATGCTCCGTGGCAGCTGCTAGCAAGTCCACAAGGGTGGACATAACCAGGGGACCCTTCCTGGAAGGCGGAAGGGTCACCACCAGAGAAGTGGCTTCCTTGGGCATCCTCCCCTGGGTGGTCTCCTGCCCTTGTCTTGCATCCTTTTGGGTCAGCCACTGCTGATGCTGAGGTGGGACACGGGCAGCCACCCATTGTGGCCTCCCGGGTTTCGCTCCATAACCTCTGCAAGAGAAGGAAAGTGCCTTTGGGGTCTCACCCCCGGTTCTCAAATGGAGCACATGCACATATATACGCACAGGTAGTCTTCAACTTACGACCACAATTGAGTCCCACATTTCTGTGGCTAAGCAAGACATTTGTTAAGTGACTGGTGCCCTATTTTACAACATTTCTTCAAGTGAACTACAGCGCCTGTTAAGTTAGTATCCCAGTTGTGAAGTGAATCTGGCTTCCCCACTGACTTTGCTTGGCAGAAGGCGATCGCAAGACCCCGGGATGCCACGACCGTCAAAAAATATGAACTGGTGGCCAAGCATCCAACCCCCCCCCCCCCCCCCCCAACCACGGGGGATGCTGCCAAGTTCGTGTGAAAATCGATCCTAAGTCATTTTTTTCTCCAGTGCCGTTGCAACTTTGAATGGTCACTAAGCGAATGGTTGTAAGTCGAGGACTGCCTGTACAAGCTGAGGCTTCTGTGTGATTCGGGAATCTACCACCACCGCCACTCCCAACAGCTGATGGGGAACCTGTCTGGTTCGGAAGCCACGCAGGCGGCCTTCAAAACCCCCAAGCATTTTGGGCAGGGAGCAAACCTTAATAGTAGAATGCCAGCTTTGCACACCTCCAGTTAAGAGGACCAGAGAGCAAGTGATGAACAGGTCTGCCTTGGCTTAAGTCCTGGAGAGTAAGTGCTTCCTGGTCCGGAGCTGATCTTGAATAAGACAGTTTCCTAAAGTAATTCACTTAACCCAATAATCCAAGATTCCACTAGAACAGTATCTCTTGGGTCACTTGAAGATGTGTGGACTTCAACTCCCAGAATTCTATTCAACCCAGTTATGCTGGCTGGGGAATTCTGGAAGTTGAAGTCCACGTACCTCCAAGTGGCCAAAGTTGAGAAACACTGTGTTAAAAAATGCAGCTCTTCATTGTTTAGGAGAAATTTGGAGAGCCGTTTGTACAAATACAGACTGTTCGGTTAATAAAATAACATTTGTCTACCAAAGGTTAAGTTGTATTTATTATCTGCCGCTCCTTTCAGAAGAGGTTTAGAAAAGGGGAAAGGAAAAAAAAAAAAGCTAGCCAGGCATTCAGCACAGGAGATGCACTTTGAAAAGATAAAACTTCTCAATTTTTGATATAAAACACTTCGATTAAACATTCTTCAGAAAAGCAGAGCTGAACAGCCGGAGAGAAAAACAGCTTAACTTTATTACATTTCATTTACAAATAATGCAAAGTTACAAAGACCAAAAAGAAAAAAAAAAAACTTTCACAGAAAAAAAGGGAAACAAACAAACAAAAAAGAGAGTTTGAAAAGAATGTGCACAGAATTTTGCATTTGTTTTTTGTTTTTTTCACATCATGGTCATGTTCTTAAGTTTGCAAAAGGAAGAACACGCACACGCACGCACACGCACACACATACACACGCACGCACTTACAAAGCCATCTTCAGGGCTTTTTTTGTTTTTGCCAAGAGAGAAAAAGCCACAATAAATTAAGCCTCAATGCTCCAGAGTTTGGAACTTTTTTACTCCTGCCCAAGTATTCCCCCCCCCCCCCCCCCCCCCCCAAAAAAACCTGTAACTCAATGGTAGGATTTGCATATATCGGTAAAGTCATTCTGCTAGTCCTCATGGATAAAAAATAAAACCCCTGTAAACAGGATGTTACACAGTTCAAATACAAAAAAAAATTAATAATAATAAAGACTGTTCCCTTCCCCCTCCCCCCCCCAAATATGAAGTGTGTTCGTTGTTTTAGCTGCCTGTCAATAGGAGAAGCTGCTCTGGGCAGGTTGAATTTACATTATTCAGATAAAACTTTTTTTTCCCCCCCTCATGATTTCAGATACCCCGTAAGAAATTTGAAAAAGGGGGAAAAAAAAAAAAGACATGAATTTCCTCCCCCAAAGAAAGCCATGTCTTAATAGCTACCACGCTACTAGCTAGAATTAATCAGATTTTAACTTGCTACCTTTAGTCTAATGTTCCGGGTGTTCCCAGTAATAACTGTTCAAAGTCGCACTACAAACAGAGATAACGTTAAATGTGCAAGTGCTTATGCCCACAGTTAGGAACTATTTCATGGTGGAAAACACTGCGTTCCCCAAGAAAGAAATGCAATAATTTAGAATAAATACTGTTGCTCTGAACTGCAGTGGCCCTTCTCAGTTCATCCCCAATTCAAAATAAATTCTGTGGAATCGGGTGGCCCCTTCAAGCACTGATTTCACGTCTCAGATTTTTGCGCTGGGGAAGTCTGCAGGGGCCCAGGGGCCCTCTGCATCTCCTTTTCTTCGCTGCCTTTGATGCCCAAGCCCACCACAACCAAGAGACCACATCTGAAAGCCACACACCTTAGAGTCAAGTCCCTCGTTTTGTGTAGTCTCTCACCACAAGCTTCCTACAGAATAATAAATAACCTTCCTTTTACAGCACAAAAAAAAAAAAGAGGAGGGGAGAAAAACCTTTCCAAAGAAAGAAAGGAAGAAAAGGAATGACACGAGCAGAATTGCAAAGAGTTCTTTTGCCTACAATTATTGGCAGCTGAAGAAATTTAGTCATCGCCTTTCAGAAACCAAATGCAAAATAATCGACGGTTTATCGACACTGTGATACGCAGCTCTATTTGGAACAAATAAGACGACACACGCAACCGGTGGTGCGACTAGTCCTCACACTTTTCAACAATCCACTAAAACAAGATCCATTTTTTTAAATGAAGGTTTTTTTCCCCCCCGGACAGAGCCACGGTTTGGAAAAGCAGCCCCGTGGCCTTTCACATTTCTCAGCTTTGATTTCCAACCCTTTAAATTAGATTTGACTTCCCCTTTCCCCAAAACCGAGTTTCCCTCTGTCCTATGGAGCTTCTTAGTCATCCCGGTTGTCCCAGAGGTGCTTTTTCTAGGGGCAACTGGACTTTGTTTTTCCTTGAAGATGTTTCGCTTCTCATCCAAGAAGCTTCTTCAGTTCAGAACTTCTTGGATGAGAAGTGAAATCCTTTCAAGGACAAAGCAAGAAAGAGTCCAGTTGCCTTTTGAAAAAGCATCTTTGGGGACGAGCTTCCCTCAGTTAGTGGAAGCTTTGTGTACGCACCCTGCATTTAAAGTCTACTTAAGAGTCTGTGCTTATACAACAACGAAAGGAAAGATGATAAAAAGGTCTTGACTCCGACGTAAGGCTAGCGGCCAAATGTTCTGAGCGCCACAAAATAGGAAATTTTTATTCCACATTGTTTGGAGGCCACAAAACTGGCTGGATTTTCACTTAAGTAATTCTTTCAAGCTACTGAAATTCAAAGGGGAGGAAAACAGCAAGTGAAATATTGTCACCCTAAGTTCTACATCTCTGGGACTTTCTTTTCCAGGTAGCTAGCCAAGTGAACAAGCTACACAATGGACATTTTGTTGGCAATTCTCAAGCTAATAGCTAGAAAAGGATAGACTTGCTGTTGTTGTGTTGTTCGTGGGCATCAGTGGGGTTGTGGAGACTTTGTTGCTTCTCTGCTGGCTCATTTCTTACGGCTGGGTTTTTGCAGGCAGGGGTTATAAAAATATGCCCCCTTTTTTTTTGCTTCTACTGCTTGATGTGGAAATTTTATAAATGCTTTTTCTAAAAAAATGCATCCCCCTTGGCCAATTTTTCTTTGTTTACCAGTAGCTCTCAGCATGAATTACAGTCCTTGACTTATGACTGTAATGGAGCCTGGAATTTCCATCGTAAGTTCATGATGGTTCCAAATCGAGGCTCCCTCATGACCAGACCTGATGTTATGGCATTTTTATGGCAGTCATTATGTTAGCCTCCCTTTTTTATTTGATAAACCAGAAAGTGGTCAATTTCATAGTACTTGCGGGTTCCCCCCTAAAAAAAAAACAACGAAGGCTGGGTTCATACAATCTACTAATCCCAAGTGAACAAAACACGAGGAATGTGTTTTGTAACACGCTACGCTAAAGCAAACCCTCCTAACCTGACCAGCTACTAAGACAGTGGTTGGGTTTCAAACAGTACCCTGAAGTACAAGCTACCGGATCCTGCACAAACAGAGCAACTGAACTGCTCTTATCATCTGATTTAACCCCTGTGACCCACGGATGGGATCCAGTCATCTTATTGCCTTTATAGGGAAGTTGCTCTAAGGCAGGGGTGTCCAACCTTGGCAACTTTAAGACTTGTGGACTTCAACTCCCAGAATTCCTCAGCCAGCTTTGCTGGCTGAGGAATTCTGGGAGTTGAAGTCCACAAGTCTTAAAGTTGCCAAGGTTGGACACCCCTGCTCTAAGGTCTGTAAGACTTCAGCGCCAGCAATGCCAACCTAGAATTGGAGGCAAGGCTGAAAATCATTTACTCCAACAGCCAGTATGTTATTCTGAACATCAATATTTAGGCCAGACTTGAGCACAGCTTTCCCCAAGCGTCCGGGATCCGCTTACATACTTTCAAACAAGAGAGCCCATCTTTTCCTGAAATAGCTGGATTCACCGCCACGTGGCTCTTGATGGGGGGGGAAATGTCTCCTCGTTTTTAGCACCAGTTAGCTCCCTTCTCTTTCCAGCTGCTTATTCTAGTATCTCCTGGAATAACAGAAAACAAGCCTATCCATCCTGGGTAAAGTCTTACAAAATTCTTTTGTTGTTGTTGCTGCTGCTGCTGTTCAGACAGAAGTCGCTTACGACCCTTCGCGACCTCATGGGCCAAAGTACGCCAGACCCCGTGCCCTCCTCTGCCTCCTGGAGTTCGCCCCCTCTTGTCCCCTTCTCTTCCTTTGCCTTCAAACTTCCCCAGCATCATTCCAAAGAGCCCCCTCTTCTCTTCTGGTCGCCAAAGCACCTGAGCTTCAGATTCTGCACCTGCCCTTCCTAAGAACAGTCAGGGTTGATTTCCTTTAGGGTCGGCTGATTTGATCTCCTTGCAGGGACCCCATATTTCTTGGGTCCTCCTTGATCTTTTCCAGCCTATAAATGCTCTATTTCAGTGGTCTGGCTGCTGCCCAGATTCTTAAAGAGATTCCTTCCCTCAGGACATGCTTCCGTTTGTTTTATTATTTATTAAATTTTATATATTGCCCTCCTCCCTGTTCGGGGAGGCTCTGGGGAGTTTGCCAACAACAGCCTCTTACAATGTGGAGTCAAAAATGTTCCTCCAGGGGTGCCTTCCAACACAGAAGGGAAGGGTGGCAATGTGGACGCTAACACAATTCCCAGTAGCCACACTTGCGTTTCTGGCCCAGGGGAAGAGGGAGAAGAACTTTAAAAAAAAAGAAAAGTTTGGAGGAGGAGGAGGCAGTTTGGATCTTATTTGCTCTGAATGTGACAGCGAGCAGAAGCGGTTATTTTGGAGCCTGGTCTTGACATCTTTTTGTGATTCATTTCTCAACAAATTAGGTTGTTCCTTAATCTGCTTAACGCACGTTAACAAGCCTAGCAGATGCATTCACACAACATACTGCACTTGGTTAGCTCTCTTCGGGGGCCACTTGGGTAGTTTATGGTTCAATAATATTGAGCCAACCCAGAAAACACATTCATATAGCAACCAGGCAAAGCATCTAGTATAAACACAGTGATAGTGTACTAAACTTACAGATATTTAATGCACCCATTTTGCCATTTTACTTTTTTTAAATATGAAAAGAAAATCATGCCACAGGAATTCAGCAATTTGCCATCAAATTTCTATGGACAAGCAGGGGGTGAGGGCTATGATTTATAGATATACGTCATTTTCATGCATCGTGATGTGCTTGGCTCCAGGAACCTCTGGAAAGCTTCTCAAAGAAGATACCAACACAAGGTCCCATACCAGGAAGGGGGTACTTCAAAGGGAATAAGGACGAAGGCAGACCAAAGAGTATTTTCAGCCCTTAATAACTTGCAAAAGCGCCCCCCCCCACAACATGAAGGGTGGAACTCGACCAAAATGTTCTGTTCCCCCGGAGTGCTTATATAAGGCCAGTGTTTTTCAAACTTGGGCAAATTTAAGTTGTGAGGAATCCTGGGAGTTGAAGTCCTCTATTACTTAGCTGATTATTGTCATTCTGATTATTATATTCTTTTTTTTTCTTTTAAAGCCAGTGAATTATGATGTCACCGATTTCAATGTTTTTTTCCGGCAAAAATAGGGCAATCTTAGTAACTTTGCAGCTTAGTAACTATCTTTCTTTGCTACATGTAATTTAAATGGGGTGTAGTGTTAAGAGAGAAACAGAGCTTGGAAGGGGCCATGGAGGTCTTCTCGTCCAACCCCCTGATCAAGCAGAAGACCCTGTCCAATCTCTTCCTAAAAACCTCCAGCGTTGGAGCATTCACAACTTCTGGAGGCAAGTGGTTCCACTGATTAATTGTTCTGTCAGAAATTTCTCCTTATTTCCAGGTTGCTTCTCTCCTTTATTATTTGTTGCTTCTTGTTTTGCTATCAGGTGCTTTGGAGGACAGTTTGACTCGCTCTTCTTTGCGTCAACGGCCCCCTTAGATATTGGACTGGGGTCCATACATCTTAAAGTTGCCAAGTCTGAAAAACACTGTTATAGACTGTTCTGTGTTCATGGGACACAGCTGTTTTTGAGTATTTATAGACCCTCTGCCAAATATGCCTTGTGGATATTGACTCTGACCAAATTTTGCTTTCAATAAAAAAGAATAATGCTCTGTCAAACAGTGACTGTGTTGAGGGGGTGTTTGCATCTCCAAAGAACTAACACATAACCACCACCCCCTTTTTTTTTCAACAGTGAAAACTGGCCAATCTCACATTAATTTTTACATACAGACGTATCACACCGAAAGAAAGAAAAGAGGAAGAAAATAATGAAAGCACAAACAGTAATTAATAAGTGCCTTGATGTAGTGTTTTTATCATCCTTCCTTCCTTTTCACATCTTGCCACAAAGAACCACAAAAATGAAAAAAAAAACCTCTGCTTTTAAAAAGATAAAAATGATTCATAATATGCTATTAAATGTCATCATGACACCCTTGCGTGGGTATGAACCGTAGCGTCACACCCACCGCTGCTACTCCTATAAAACACAGAAATGGTTTTTTAAAAAATAGTTTTTCCTTTTTTTTTTATTAAAAAAAAGTGTGCATACATAGATATTTAAAATTGCTCTTTCACAATGTCATCACAGTGACAGGGGAGGTGGGTTTGTTTTTGTTTTTTTCCTTCTAAAATTAAAAGCGCCTTCACTGTTTAAAAGCACAGAGCTTTATAAGGTCAGGGAGATGCAGCCTCCTTTTGAATATTTTGGAACGGTTCAGCCAATGGAGAAGGGAAAAGAGACGGGTAGGTTGCAAAGCATCCATCTACGAAAGAAAAACAGAACTACTTATCTTCATATATATATATATATTTATATATTAATCTCTTGGGTGACTACTTAAAAAACAGAAACAGAACAGGAATACCTGGAGACATTATGCTCATGGAGAACTATGTTTCCAAGGAGACTAAAGCCCAGAGTTTCGTTAACATGCAGCAGTAACAATAACAAGATGCAGTTTCTTTGAACATGCAATAGCTTGGCCTTGAGCAAAAAGTGAGCTGCTCCCTTCGCCCACCTTCATCCAAAACGTGCTGCTGAAACAGACAGGGGTCTTTCTTTCCCCTCTAAGACAGTCCCAGGGTCAGGGTGTCTTCCAAAAGCCAACTTGCAACTGGGATTTACCCTTGACCTGGAACGCAGAGGAAAAGTGCCTCTGTAAGGCCTTCTTTCTCAACCATGGCAACCGGAAGATGTCTGGACTTCAACTCCCAGAATTCCCCAGCCAGGAGTTGGAAGTCCACACATCTTCCGGTTGCCATGGTTGAGAAACACCACCGAATGGGGATGTCCTACCCTCTGGCTCTCGTTCTCTTTTTCAAACACAAGACTAGACACTATTGAACAGAGAAATAATTTATCCTCCCCCCTCCGCACTGTCAAAGTCAACTTGGACCAAAGTCCCGGTTTCCCCTGAGAGAAAGGACTATTTACACCGAACTCCCCTTCCTCTCAATCTTAGGATCGCTCCAATCAACAGCGAGTAGAAGAAAAAAATAATCAAGATATGTCAACAAAGGAAAGCAAACCCCGGGTGCACATTTCGATATCCTACGCCCGGAGCATCAAAAGATCTAAAAAGGTAAAGATGTCAGACGTCTTGTTTCTTCAGAGGCCCAGAGTGGAAGTGGAGAAGGGAAGAAAGTTTGGCCATGGGTAGTTAGGGTAGACAGGCAGTGTACCGCTTATACCACCCGACAGTCCTTCATTAACAGATGATTAAGAGAGAAATGAAGGGGTTCCTTTGAAATGATATGGAAATAAAAAAAGAAACAAAGCCTCGGAGGGGGGGGCAAGTTATTTGAAGAATGTATTTTCCAGCACAAAGAAAATAAAGTCTCCAAAATCTTCCTAGAAGGGATGTTTTTACTCACAAAATATGCCTCATTCTGACGTAATATTCCTTCAATCTGACCAGCGGCACTCTGAGCTTGGCTTTAAGGACGGGGGGAGGATTAAGGCCAGCTGGGCAGGGCAAATTAATGCATGTCACCCCAGTCCGTAGGAATTGCACCTAATGAATGGCAGCCTGGAAGCTGATAGACCCAGCAGAACTTCTCAATAATAGGCAACCTGGTGGCTCCCATTGAAGAGAACAATTTTAGCTCAAATAACTGAACTGTGGGGTCCTTAGTGCTCTCCAGACTTTCAGACATTTCATTACCCAACTAGGCAATGTCATCAGTAGTGGAAAGGAGTGGGTTTTGCTCTCTGTTTATATTATTAGTGGCCTAACAGCCTAATCAAAGAATCACCAAGAACCCTCCCACCAACACAGACAGGGCAAGCCACTCACATATAAACAGAAAGCAAGCACTGATTATGTTACCTAGTTGGGGAATGAAATGTCTGCAAGAAAACAATGACACTCAGAGGGCCTCACAAACTGCTGGTTTTCAGATGGTTTGGGTGGCAAAAGCCACAATCCCTTGCCACTGACCACGTGGGCAGGACTATTGGAAATGGACAGGAAAAACATCCAGAGAGCCTCTGGCTTCCTCCCTCTGGATTTTAGGATCTGACTCCAACTGGAAATACAGGAGCTCCTTTTCGCCCCCAAACTTACTTAGAGGTCTTGGGCCAGTAATTTTCTCTTGGCCGAGGTTCTCTCTTGTGCTGATCATGAGGCTAAAATGAAAGGAAGGGGCAGAGAATTGTCAATACTACCCTAACTTTTTGGGGGGTGGGGTGGGGGGGTGGGATGAAATCAGATTTTAAGGAATGAAAATAAAGAAGGACCGCTTCATAACTAGGACCAATGTGGAGTCAAATCCAGCTCCAAATTAAGCTCACAGTTAAGACGTATCTGGTTTTTTTAAATTAAAATCTTAGTTCTCTACCTAAACAACAGGCACCACTTTTTTGACAGATTCTTCACCATTCATGCAGACATCAACAACCATAAAAAAGGCTTATTTCCCCAGACAATCCTTTTTTTTTTTTTCATACAACAAAAACACAAAGCAGAACCCGAAAAGATAGAATGCAGCTTTGGGGTTTCTAAGCCCTACAAATAACAAGATTTCTTTGCCTTCCTCCCACCTCGCATCAGTTTTGGCAAATTGCAGATCCCATAACTTGGAGCTCTAGTGCATTTATTTATTATTTTTCTCTTCCCCCACCTCCTTAATCTTTAATGCAGATTTTACTCAAGAATTGAAGGGAGGGAGGGAAGTTTTCCATTTTATAAAGCAACAGAAAGTAAGGTGCGTAAAAGAGATAACCATCGGGCCCATAATTACTACCTCAGCCAGAAAAATCAGATTCACAATACAGCTTAGGTTGGCTGTTTAAGTCTTCAATTTCTTCCTTGTTCTACATTTTTTTAAATTATTTTTTTAACATTTATTTCCAGCTTCCCCCAGCCTAACAAGGGAAAACTGAAATAATATCTGTTAAAAGCAAATGGTCCCTGATGCTTGGCTATTTCAAATTAAATTGCATTCAGATCAGGTTTTGTCTGTTTGCGTGGATGTCTATGTGTGTGACTATGTGCACACATATACATGCACAATCATACACCTGCTATGTATATACATAAATAGTAAATTAAGGCCATTTTGTAAAACTACTTACAATTTATCAATACACAAGTTTTCCTATGTACATGTGTAAATCTAAAAAAAATGAGAGAAAGAAAATAGCCATTTATATCTCCATGTAAAAAAATCCAGCTCAAGAATCAATGAATTTTCCCCAAACTGGATTCTGCATTTTGCTTTCCAATTGCCCCAAAATTGCAGGTCAACGTTCAAAGGAAATTTTGGCATGCTGATGAAATAAGACGAGAGATCTGACTGAAAACCAACAAACTGCGTTGTCGGGAACGAGAAAGAGTGTTGCAAACGGCCTGTTTAGTACCTGGGCCTCTTATTTAAAGCAGGAGACGGGGCCTTTTTATTTCTTGGATGGATTTCCTCTGAGAAACAGCCATGGAAAATTTGAAATACGCAGACCCCCCCGGGTGTATTAGAGGCGGCTGAACTAAAATACTGACAAGGGTTATGAAATGGAGACAGCATTTTTTCGGAATTTAGAAGATGGGGTGGAGGGAAAGGGGAGAGGAACACATCAAAGCAAAAAACATGACACAAAGAACCTACAACACTTAAAAAAAAAATCCATCTTTTTTAGTGCAAAAATTATAAACTGACCATGGCCCAAACAAAACATAACCGAACACGTACTCAGAATGGATAATATCCCTGCTACCTGCACACGTGTGTGTGTGTGTGTGTGTGTATACACACACACAAAGATCTAGCTATAATTCATTGGGAGAGGAGAAGGGTAAGAGTTTGAAAACAGGGTAAGAAACAAATAGTAAGAGGCATATGTTCAGTCTGGGAACCGACCCTCCAGCTTTGGCCAGAAAGAAGGTCCTGCGAAGCTAGAGAATAACAGAGTTGGAAAAAACCCTGGAGGTCATCTAATCCAACCCGCTGCCCAAGCAGGAGACCCTATGCTGGCTCAGGAATTCTGGGAGTTGAAGTTCACAAGTCGCTAAAAGTTGCCAAGTTTGGAGACTCCTTGGTTTATGGGCCACTGAATCCAGGCATCTCAGATTGGTTAGCCTGTTGGATGCCCTGACCTGAACGTGTCAGGGCCTCCTTGTATGGGGGGAAGCCGCTTTAAAGGATTTCCATCTGATCAGTTTGGAGCACAAAGATAATAACCAGACCCTGTTTTGGTCAGAGGGAAGATTATTTCATGTACCAGAGAAAGGTGGGGTGTTTTTTTTTTAAAAAAAAATATATATGCAGAACAAGAACTACTTCTTCCCAAGCAAGTGGGGGGAAGGGCAGTGGGGGAAGGAAGGGGAGAGAGATTGCTGCCCTAAAAAACGTTATTTAAAAAAAACCTGACAACCTGCAGGAGACGACCCAGATCTCATTCCTTCAGACAAATTGCAGAATTTCCATGTATAATTAGAAAAACGCTTGTTTGTGCCTTCTTTTCCTCCCTCGGCTTGCCTTGCCTCTCCCTGAAAATTCTTTTGAAGGAACAACGACAACAACAAAAAAGAAAAAGAAAAAGGAAAAAAAAAAAGAAGAACAAGTTTTACACGGTCAGTTCGCCGAGAGGAATTATGTGGCTCATGCAACGAAATCTCCCAAACGGGGGTGGTGGTGGTGGCGCTCAGGCAGCTGTTTCTGAAAGCTGCTGCATGCACACAGGCAAATGAGCTAACAGGCCATGATGGGATTCCAGAAAACAGTCAAGGATTGGAAAATCAAGCAGAGAATTGCAAGCCACTCTTCCCCCCAGCCCAGCCCACCCCACTTCCCAATGCAAGCGGTTGCTTTACGGAGTTTATTCGGAGAGCCACAGCTGGCTTTCTCCGCTCTCCGAGTCCAGTCCTTCTCCGTGGAAAGGCAGTGGTATTCACAAAGTAGCTTTAGCAATCGCGTCCTTCTCTTCCCCCGCCCGCAACGCCCAATTATCATCAAGCGGTCCCCTAACTCCCCCGGGGTGGGGGGCGGGGAGGGGGAAGCCCTCGGTTCCATGCAGGGTGTCTGTTTTTGTAACAGAAGCCGAAGGTTGGATAGTTTACGTACACAGGAAAACAAAACGATACACCTATTTTATCTTCTGAATAGCTCCTCTGCCTCGGAAAGAGGAGGAAGGGGTGGGGTGGGGGGTGGGGAATATAACTTTCGCTGCCACTCCACTTCCCCAACACAAAGCCCAAAGCTTTTAATTTAGGGCCAAGGACAAAAGAGGACCCAAAATGCTGGAACTTTGGTGATAGAGGGAGGGGAGATAAGGAAGGCCTGGGGTAGAAGAGACAGCTCTTTTGAGGAACGTTCTCCCAACAGCAAGGCATGAACCAAGGTTTTAAGTTGGTGCTGGGGAAGGAGAGGAGAGCAGGACAGCCGCCGGGGCAAGTGTAGAACAAGCGATTGCTAAATTGGACACACAGTGGAGCTGCGGCTCTCCAGGGACCCTGATGGGATGCAAGAGATCCGAGACGGGCTCGGCCCGATCTCCCTCCGAGCACCAGAGTGGCATAGACTTTCCGGGACTTGGATGATTTGGATGCGCTCCTTTGGACCGCACGGCACACCCCTTTTCCCGTTCTCCACCCCCACTACAGCCGGTCCATCCGGAAAGTGTCCTCTGTGGCAGGATCCGCAAGAACCATGTCGGGGTCGTTGAGCATGTGAAGCCCATCCAAGGTCAAGGGGTCGATTTTTAGTTCGTCCAGAGGGAACTGGGAATCTGAGTCAAAGCCGACATCCCCCACCCCGGCCAAAGAGCTGGTGAGGTCTTTCGACAGACTGGGAGGCGATTCCCCCGTCACTACAGAGAGAGAGAGAGAGAGAGAATTTTGATCAAGTTTGCTCGGTTTCTCCTTCAATCTGAGCTATTTGTTCTCACCCAATGAAACAAGTAAAGGAAAAAATAAAAAGGAAACAAAGAGGAATCTTTTGAAATTATTATCTGGATTTTTTTTTTCTCCTCTAGCCTATCTCCCCTCAAATGGCGTAAGGCCGGGCTACCAAAAGGATCTTTACATCAGCCCATCCCGCCAAGTCAGGCTTGCAGGGAAGGTATGTTTGCGGACCTTGTCAGCTAAATAATTCAACCGGGGTGGGGCCCAGGAAGACAACTTTCTCTGCCACTGCCTGCAGAATAATCCCCGCACAATATTCTCCCCCAGAGGTAAGAGCCCCCCCCCCCAAATCTCCTGGCCTTCCAAATCAGAGTTAAAACATGGCCCCGACAACCTTGCATGGGGATCATGCAGCTGTGGGGGTGATTAGTGCTCTAAGAGCCCTCCCTTTGTTGCCTCTTAAATCATTTTAGCAGTGTTTTATCGTCCTCACCTTTTTTAAAATTTTCTATCCTTTTATCTATCGCTTTTACAATTTTAATACCTTGTTGTATACTACCCAAAGGTGGAAAGTTCTGAAATGTAATAAACAAATTCCAGGTATGGTAAAAAAAAATCTTTCCTGGCTGATTATCTAACCAGTAAACCTGTGATGGGCCCCAGAAAACAGAACCTGCTATGGCTCCTGGGTTTTTTTTCCCCCTACCGATGAGCAGGCTTAATAAAGAACTTCGGCCTGGCTTTTGACTCTTTTCGAAGGGACTTAACTGGCACTCAGTTAATGGCTCTTCATCCACTGGTCAAAACACATCTTAACTCCTCCTAAAGGTAACTGCTAGTCAGCTGTGGTCTCTACTCAGACTTAAAGTGGTGTTCAAGTCCTTCAAGTCACAAGTGGATGGCCAATGACCACGAGCCAGGGTCTCTTGTGTCAGAGCTGTAGGATGACCAAGGGAGACATCTCAACCAATCTCCTGTTCAGGGCAGACAATTCAGGATTGGTGCAAAATGGGGAGGGGGGGGAGCTCAATTTTCTTTGAATTCAAGGTTCAGCCATTTTATAAATAATAAATAAAAAGCAGGGACTTCACGATTTTTTTTTTAATGCTCTCACTTCTGAAATGTTGCGGATGTCATTGCCAAAAACTCACACGTGACCTTAGGGAGGAGCTTTAAATTCCCTTTCTGATCTTTGCTCCAGGTAACAGGACTCATTTTTAAATTACTCTGGCAACCAGGAAGTTTCTCCTTGTGTTAAATGGAACAAAAGCAAACAAACTAATCTAGTCTGGGCCTCCAACATAGGATGCAATGTGTTAATAATCTTTATTATAATAATAAAGATTATAATAATAATAATCTTTATTATAATAATCTTTCAGGAGATTCATTAGCTGTCCCCACCCAGCCAGCCTCCTATTTGTTCTATCTTTTCTGACTCCCATCACTGTCCCTCCATGTATATTTAAAAGAGCCATCAGAGAGGACATAAGCCTGGCTTGCAAAATGCCTCCTTGTCCAAGCTGAGTTGGCAATTCATAAGACTGCAGATCATAGGCAGTAGGAACCAGGATTCCTTGTGCAGCCCCCTTAACCTCCAACTCAGAATGCTTTTTGATTGTTAGGGAGTTAAAAAGTGAGATTAGTGATTTGACCTCTTTAAAAAAAAGATTACAAAAAACCTCCCAACCCAGGCCACCACCACCCCGCCCCCGCCCCCAGGGAATGGGGCAAAATAGATGCCTGAAGTTTCCTACAAGGTTTGAAGTACTCATTTCAGCCCATTAACACAGAAAAAAACACTTCTTATAACACACTATTCAATAACTAACTAACTAACTTAAGCACTGCCCCTGGGTGCAAGAAAGTTTACCTATCCCCAAACTTACAGGTTTAGCAGCCTCCCCCCCATTACCTGCATTTTCCCAAGGAGCGAGAACCACGGTGCTTCATTACCTGTAAGGATGATATTTGGGATGTTCCCGTGGCTGGTGTAACTGAGCTGCTGTGGGTCCTGGAGACTCCCGTGGCTCCCGGTCAGCCCCATCATGGCTGCCTGGGAGTAGTTGAGGGTAGAGCAGGGGCTGTACAAGCTATTGGAGCTGATGGCGTTTTCAATCATGTTGAACTGCTCGAGCTGAAGGAAGGAATCCTGGAGATCAGATCAAAGGCCTATTTCTAAGGCCACCAGAGGCAGGATGTGAAGGACACCATTTCTTCCCTAGTTCCCCCCCCCCCCCCCCGCCAACCTCCTTTGAGATAGATTGCATCTACAGACATAAATCCCACTTGACTCCATCATTTGCCCTCTGCAGGGCTAGGGAACTATGGCCCTTTTATGACTTGTGCTGGCTCAGGAATTCTGGGAGTTGAAGTCCACAAGTCATAAAAGAGCCATAGTTCCCCACCTCCGCTCTAGAGCTCTGGCAGCTTTTTGTGATTTGTGGACTCCAATTCCCATAATTCCCCAGGTGCAGTCGAATCTTCCCATAACTGAAAAGTATCTCCCGCTGTGGAAGTCTCAGGCTTTCGATTCCCATCCCAGAATCATGTGCCACCCAATCAAGATCAGGTCTTGCAGTCTCCTGATCGTAGCAGGGCTATGAATTCACAATGCCAAATTTTGATTAAAAACGGTGGGGTGGTTGTTATTAGTGGGGGACTTATGCATGGAACCTAGCATTAGTCTCTACAGAGATTCTCAGTCATCCAGGTCTGAAGAACTGAAGAAGCTTCTTGAATGAGCAGGGAAACGTCTTCATCAAGGAAAAACAAAGAAAGTCCAGTTGACTTTTGAAAAAAGCACCTTTGGAACAATCTAGCATTAGGGAAATTGGTGCCCTTGAGGTATTTCTGCTGTTGTCAAGAAAGAGCTTCTAACATCCTATAAGAAATTTGGGTATCATCTTGCTTGGTATGTATGCTTTTTATTTTATACTTTTTTATGTTATGCTTTTAACTCTGCTTGAACTAATAAATGCATAAAATCTCTTTATTTACTGGAGCGTTCAGTTGTTTTCGGACCCAAAAGAACCAACTGGACACTGATCATTGCCCTGACACTTGGCAAAACACAGCGCAAGTCTTAACGTGTCCACTTTGCTATATACTTTATCACAGCCTTAATGGATCTTACTCCAAAGCAAGCATCACAGCCCAAATGTCTAGCAGGTATCCTTACTTTCTGCATCCTCCCACCAGAGGGCAGCAACACCCCACAGCTGGACAGGAGACCTTGAATTATTGCCCTCGTTTTTGTTCCATTAAATTCTTCTATCCTGTTTATTTCCCAGCATTGGCTGACCTTGTCTGGATTTGTAAATTAAGAAGGATCAGGCCTCACCAGTACTTGGATGAAAAACCACCAGTGGTTTCCAGAGCTCTGAGCTAGATTAGGAAATTTGGGGTGGGGGGGGAGGGGGGGAGGAATTGCACGAGGCGAGAACAATCTATATCCACGTTGATGCCACACGAATTGCACGGATGGGTCTATGTAATCCCAGGAATCAAGGTCAATTTTTAATCTTATTTATCTTTTTGCATTCATACTTTGCATATTCACTCTTGTGATGCACAAAGAATGGGAATCAGAAGAAACGGAAAAGTGCAAAAGTTTGTAACCATGAGATTTGCACTTCAAAGCCTTCAAGACGGAGATAGCAGAATGGATGTGTTTTAGCCAGTGACGTATGCTATAATATTTCAAATTAAATTAAATTTAAAAGATAATTGTTGGTATCTTCTATGGTTCAGCTGCAGCAAGACACCAATAATCTCAGAACTGTAGAAATCTAAAAAAAAAAAGGTTGACTTAAGAAACAAGAGGCCATTCATTTTAATTTAGGAGATAGGTGAACCTCTGAAATAATTTGTGTGACATTTATCTTCCAAAATTGCCAATGGATTAATTTAATCACTCTCTCCAATTAAAATAGATTTACTCAAAAAGTGTGCGTGAGAACGTGGAGCAGTAAAGAATCTCTTCTCCTTAGAGAAATCTACTTCCCCATTATATTGCAGAATTCACAATAAACAACTCTTTCAGGATTTCAGCACTGGGAAAATTCAATATTGAATTTAATGCAGGAAAGAAGAGGAATCCCTACGGAAGCTGCTTGGAAAGAGGCAAAATCAGAATGGCGCTTGGTGAAATTAGCTCTCTGTTGACCAACCATCTACTGAGATGGTTGATACGTTCCTGCTCTAGACCAGGCCTTGGTTGCTCAAACAGTCCTCGATTTACAACCACAAATGGAACAAGACTTTCAGTTATTAAGCAAGGCTTCCACACTGACTTTGTTTGACAGAAGCCAACTGGGAAGGTCGCAAAAGGAGATCACTTGACCTTGGGACATTGCAAACGTCATATTTATAGAGGAGCCAGTTGCCAAGCACCTGAATCCTGATCACATGACCATGGAGATGCTGCAATGGTGGTTAAGTGCAAGGACTGGTCGTAAGTCACTAGTTGTAATTTTGAATGGTCACTAAATGAATGGTTGTAAGTCAAGGACTACCTGTACATAAATGAAGTACATTTCCCACTCACCTGATGGGATAAAGCATTTGCTTGCCTGGCAGTCATCTGCTGATCATAACAAGAGTCACCAAAGACACTCCCTAGGATAGATGTTTGCTGCAAGAAGAAAAACAAGAATTAATGTAAAGTCAAGCTCTTCTAATTTTTATAAGTTCAGAAAGGAATTTGGCTATCTCTTTTCTACCCCAAAATGATGCTTGCAAGGTTTTATCATTATATTTGGTTGATTCTAGGATTGATTTGCTCAAATTCTGTGGATAAGAAGTTACATGCTGGCAAGTCAGTGTTCTCAGTGATTAACAGAAACCAAACTCTTAAAAGGGGGGATAATTTGGAGCGGGAGAAAAAAAGAATAGAGAAAATAATGCATTTATGGCCCTATCCATCCTAGATCCCTATCCGTCCTACTGCAGAAGACAAACACAGATTGGGGAAAGAACACTACCATTCAGAAACATTTCTGCACAAAGATTTTAAACACGTGGGAGTGGGGCAGACAAACGTAGCCTTACGACATTACAAAAGTAGCGGTTGCTGAAGAGGACAATTACATGCTTATGGATAAATCACATATAGCCCTCCAGAAATTGTTGACCTACAATCAATCAAAGTTCCAGCCGCCTTGGACAATTCTTGGCCAACCCCCAACCTTTCCTTCCTGGCAATGGCGCTTCAGTTTCAGAGGGTTCTATAGGAAATGTATCATCTGAGACAGGCATGGACAATTCTGGTCCCTTTAAGACCTGTGGACTTCAACTCCCAGAATTCCTGAGCTGACTGACTCAGGAATTCTGGGAATTGAAGCCCACAGGCTGTAAAGGACCATAGTTGCTCACCACTGATCTAATAACCTTTTCAGTCAGGTTTCAGCTGACCATGGTCTGTCTCTCTGGACCATCTGCAATATCTACAAGGGATGGGAATGAGCCATGGCTCCATTCCTTCCTAACTGGGAGACTCCAGCTGGAGAGCATGGAACACCCAAAGTGATTGTGGCTGTCGCAATATGGGGTGCCACAAGGCATGATCTTCTCCTTCATGCTATTTAACACTAGCACTAATGATGTTACCTGGTTTGGGTAACGAAACGTCTACAAAAAAAGCAAGCAAGCTCAGAGAGCACCAAGGATATTTAACATCTATATGAAACCACCAGGAGAGGACATACATTGATTTCAAATGAAGTATCATTAATATGCCAAAGATATAGATATCGCCATCCCAGAACTGGACCAGATATGCTGTACAAGCCCCAAATTTGTGAAAACACGATGCATCCAAAGACGTTCAGGCTCCATTGCAGCAAAACCCTTTTGCTGTTTGTTGGTGATAGGTTAGAATGGCCCCAAGCCTGTTGTTTTTTTGCAAAGCTTTAAAAACTTATCTATGTACCCAGTCCTGAGGCTCGGAATGCGTTAAGAGGCCCCGTTACTTGGTTTTGCTTGGCTGCTGCTCTGTTTATTTACTTGTGGGTGTCTTTTTATTGTTTTACATTTTTTTAAAAAAAAATGTTTTAATTTTAGAATTGTAAGCCACTCAAGGTCACTTGGTTGACTTGGGCGGCTACAGAAATTGAAGGAATAGCCCAATATTCCGTTTCTTGGCCCTTTGATGTGTGTTTGACTATGTTGGGATCCTGTTATGAGAACCAGAGGGTGGAAAGTAGCGACCTCAAGGTGGGAACATCATAGAAAGGACAGGTATATGAGAGACTGGGGATAGGCAGGTCTGGAGCCACTATTAAGGCCTACCGTGTGGCAGTTAAGGGTAGCAAATACTCTGCCCTTATTGCATCCACAGAGAGCCTCCTCCTCTTCCTCCTCCACCTGACACAAGTTCTCCTGGGAAAGGGTTACTCAGAAGTTTACCAACAGGGTTATGCAGAGGAATTTGCAGATCATCTATTGTAGGGGTGTCAAACTCAAGGCCTGTGGCCCGCATCCAGCCTGCAGGGTGCTGAGGTCTGGAAACAGCGAAGGACCAACCTGCGGTGCTTCTGCCAGCGAAAACGGAGCTCAGGTGGGCCGCACACTTTTCGCTGGGAGAGAGCTAGCGAAACAAACTGAAAACAAAAGAAAAGGAGAAATGTTTCCCCTCTTGCATTTGAGCATCCAAGAAGGGCCAGGAAAGGAGAAAGGGAAAGACAAAGAAAAAGAAGGGAAGAGAGCAAAGTAAGAAAAAAGGAAAGAGGGGAAGGAAGAAGAAAGGAGAATGAAGAGGGGAGGGAAAAGAAGAAAAGGAAAGAAGGAAGGATTATTAGAGGGAGGGTCTGAGGGAAGTTCTGCCTTAGCACTTGGCCACCACAGGTGCCCCCCCCTCCAACCTGAGTGACAGTGAGCTGGCCATGCCCCCCCCCACACCACCCCTCCCCTGAGGTCAAACCAAACCCTGATGCAGCCCTCAGTGAAATCGAGTTTGACACCCCTGATCTATTGGGCAGCATTACAGGTAATCCTCAACTTAGCAACTGAGCCCTAAATTTCTGCTCCGAAGCAAGAGAGTTAGGTGAATTTTGCCCCATTTTTATGACCTTTTTTTGCCACAGTTGTTAAGTAAACCCCTGCAGTTGTAAAGTTAGTAACACGGTTGTCAAATGAATCTGGCTTCCCCGTTGACTTTGCTTGTCAGAAGGTTGCAAAAGGTGATCGTGTGACCTCAGGGACACTGCAGCCGTCCTAAATACATGCCGGTTGCCACGCAGCCGAATTTTGATCACATGACCGTGGGGATGTTACAACCGTTGTAAATATGAAAAACAGTCTTAAGCCCCCTTTTTTCACGGCTGCTGTAACTTCAAATAGTCATTAAGTGAATAGTTGTAAGCCAAGGACTACCTGTACTTGAATCTATTCCCATTTGGATGCTGGTTTGGATAGAGATGTGATGGGAGGGGCTGGGGTGCAGTCTTGCCCAGTTATCTGGAAGCAGTTTGAACCTCTTGGACCTGAAGCAGGGAACAGGGCCATGATGACTGTGAGCTCAGCCGCCTGTTCCTTACATTTATGCCCCTCCTGGATAGTTAAGGCTGGCGGGGGGGGGAGGAGGGGAGAGAGGGGGGAGCCTAGAGAGGTTAGATTCCAGCGGTCATTAATTGCTCTTTGAAAAAAGGACAACCCACCACCATCCTCAAGAAACCATTGCTGGACAATTTTCGTCCTGTGTCTAACCTCCCTTTTAGGGAAGGTCGTGGAGAAGATGGTTGTGCATCAGCCTCAGCAGGGAGGGCGTGAAGCAAATTATATCAACCCCTTCCAGTCAGAATTCCCCTCCAGGCGAGACTGGGCCCATCCCTGTTAGCTTTCCATCAGATCCTCTAAAACAGGGGTCACCAACCAGTGGGCTGGGGACCACTGGTGGTCCGTGAGAAAATTTTGGTGGTCTGAAGAGAAATGTCGTTCCCCCCCACACAGCACTCCCCCCCAAAGCAATTAATCCAGGCTGCGCGGGAACACAAGGCTGCACCACCCACATGGCCCGCCCACCCGCTGGCCCCCACCCTTCACCTGAGCACAAACCTTACTTTGAATAGAGCTGGAACTGGAAGGTAAGAGCAATGTTGGGGGAAGGAAATCCATCCCGGGGGTGTTTTGCTGATGTTGGCGGGAAAGTCGGTCCCTACTCCAGAGCTGCGGTAGTCACAGGACTGGCCCTTTGGTCATCCTGGAGCAGGTCCTCCAGTCCATGGCAGGTGGTCCTGTGACTACTGCAGCTCTGCAATATGGGACCGACTTTCCCACCAACGTCAGCAAGCCACCTTCAGTCAAAATTCATATTAGTGGTCTGCGGGATTTAAAATTATGAGTTTGGTGGTCCTTGAGGTCCAAAAGGTTGGCGACCCCTGCTCTAAAACATGGTTTATCCGGCAATCTTGTGGAATCTAGGGGATGGTTATTCTTTTGGGATTTTTTTTTCATATTTGCATTTTGATTTCCGTTCACTGTTATACGATTGGCTACACTGTTTTAACCATAGCTGTCTTTGTACACTGCCCAGAGTCACGTTATGTGAGATGGGTGGAGATAACATATTTGCTAAACAAACAGACGCATGAATCAAATCGTTTTGTGAGGGCCACATTATTCCTTATTCTAGACTCTAATCTTTAGAATTCCCATCTGTCCCGCTGGTCGATGCCCACACATTTGGAAAGCATCCAAATTGGGGGAAAATGGCCATATGCTGTGTAATAATGAAAAAACTGCCTTGCACATAACGTAGAATAAAGACTCTGCAACGGTATTAGATGCATGCACTTCAAGCTTCTGCCACAGGAAGATTTCCCTCCCTTTTTCGGCTTTGATGTGTGAGTCTTTTTGCCGTGCAAAAAGTGGGCTTTTTGTTCCACTAGAGCAGGGGTGTCAAACTCAAGGCCCGGGGGGGGTGGGATCCGGCCCGCAGGGTGTTTAGAACTGGCCCATGGGGCCGCCCAGGAAAGAAGTGAACGCCCGGCCCGCGGTGCCTCTGCCAGCAAAAATGGACCTTGCGAGGGCTGCATGCGGCGCTCCCGAGCTCCGTTTTTGTTGGCAGAGGGTTGCAGGAGGCTGTTGCAGCCGAAAATGGAGCTCGGGAGCCTGTTTCCCCTGCAGAACGCTCAGGCCATTTCAGGTGACCCCCGACATGAGTGACGTCGAGCTGGCCACACACACCCTGGCCTCCTGAGGTCAAACACAACCCTGATGCGGCCCTCAATGAAACTGAATGACACCCCTGGATAAGAGAAACAAGAACCATGGGGTGGGTAAGAAAAAGCCCTTTCTCTGCTTCGTGTATAAATTCTGCAAGTCTGCATCTCCAGTGAGCAACACCAAGTACGTTTTAAAAGAATGGGTTTGGAATAAAACCAAGGGATTTATGATTTGACCCCAAATCATACACGGATGCCCTTTACTGTCATGTTAAAAATCGGCCTGAAAAATCTGCACAGCTCCGGAGCTCACGTTAGGGATGGAGGGCAGGCTGCTCCGTCCCTTGATGCCTCTGGGCCACGTGGCTATTTCCCTGAAGCAGGAGCCATTTTCAAAATGGCTGCAAGGAATTCTGGCTTCTCCAAGGCTTAGGAGCACGGAGGGCCTGCCTTTCTTCCCTAACGTGAGCTC